AAAAACTGATTCTCCTTTTCCAAGAAGCTGTCACGCAACTAGGGGTGGGGACTTGTAAGGCCCTCCACAATTCATGCTGAAAGACTAAGTGTGGTATCTGCTCCTGTGCAGGTTCCACAGCTGTGAGCTCATTAGGGCAGTGGTCATGTTATGTCCAGAAAACACAGTTTTGGTCCAGTCCTCCTAACTTCTGGCTCTTACAGTTTTTCCATCTCTTCTTCCAAGATGGTCCATGATCAGTTGTGAGTTCCTTCCTTAATTGCTGCCCACTAGAGCATTTTGCTCTCTCTGTATATCTGATCATTGGGACAGGCCTGATGTGGGATTTCTTTCTGCATGCTGTAAATGCCATTGGTTTATAAGGAATCTGCTTTGGGCCTATTGCAGTGCAGAATAGGGCAAGGTGGGAATTATAAGCAGATAGAGGAGAGAGTAGGCGGAGTCAAAGACACACCATGTAGCCACCAAAGGAGAAAGACACCTGTAGGAGTCTGTTGGACCCTTGCCAGTAGGCCATGACCTTGTGGTGATGCACAGGTTAATAGAGGAAACGAATGAGCAGCCTCTGACTACACAGTCCAGAACTAATTAATTCTCATGTTATCAAAGATACTCCTGCTACTTAAATCCCAAGAGCTTTAGAAATAGCATATCAGCAAACGAGGACAAAAACCTAATCAATTCTGTAGTAATTGAAGATTTGAGGCCTGCATAAGAAGCAGATAGGATGTAGATCTTCTGCCACTTCAGCTGTAAGACAACAGATGCATGGTGGGAAATTCCAAAGGTGCCCCTTTTAACTAGTCAGAATAAAGGAAGTAATAATGTCAGATTTGCAGGAAAGTACTACATAAAATGATAGTTATGGAAAGAAGCCCTGTATTACTAAGGAGCAGAGGGAGAGCCAAGTGAGGGGCACCCTTTGCTGAGGTGAGGCAGCTTCTTCCTACAGGCCTCAACGGCCCCAGTGGGGACACAGAGGAAGTAGATCAAACATATACACAACCCAGCCTTGGCTTGTGTAGGATGAGGACAGTAATAAAAACCAGAGGGCTGCTCCTGGGAGTAGAACGAATATCAGTGAAGAGATGGGGCATAGGAACTAGCTGTGGAGGAAGGAAGGAGAAGCAGAACGGCAGACAGAGAATGTAGATGTAGATGACTGGGAGGCTCTGATGAGGGCGAGTTGATGTGCTGAGACTGTGGGGGCGAGGACTTGGGAACGCTGGGGACGGTAGTCACAGATGAGCATGTGTGCGCATGCTCACAGAAACTGGGCCGTTCCAAGAGGCTCTGAGGGCAGCAAAAGGGAGCTCTTGTGCTCAGTACCTAATTTTACTTTTTCTATTGAAGAGAGTAAGCTCCCTAAAGGCTATCCAAGTTTTAGGATCTGTGATTGCCTTGCAGTACAAACAAACTGAGCCTTGAAGAATAGATGGCGCTAAGTTGTGAGAAGCACTGGAAAACCTAGGGCGTCTCTGAGTGTGAGTCCAAGGAGACTGCCGCTTTTTCCACGTGGACAAAAGCCCCAGGGACCCTGAGGCAGCTGCAGATATTCCCCATCCCCACTGCAGCCACAGGCGACACTAACTGGTCGTACACAGACTCACACATAATCGGTGCCACTGCTGGAAGTGCCAGAGATCCAACAACAGAGAAAGCAAGGCCATAATCATCAGTAGAGGAAGGACTGAGGGGAGGGAGAGGCAAATAAAAACTTCCGCATGTACACAATGGTTCATCTCTCATAGGTGTTTTCCCTGGTGGGACTTTGTTTATCATGATAATAGCAAGAGTTAGTCTTTCTGTCAATATTGTAAATACAGGGACACTTAGGAGCTTCCTCGGGCACAACTGGGAGGGAAGTGTTGTGTCACTTTGGGTTCGAGTGTATTCTACAGGCAAGGGCCTCACTCGGGAGATGTACACTTTTGTCACTGCCCTCTATAGACAGCAGAGAAGGTTAAGTGTGTTCCAGACAAGCCACATCCAAAGCAACTTCTGGATAACTAATGAGAAGCCTTGTGAAGATTCCTCGTCTGTGTATAGAGGGAATGGACTACTTTCTTGTTCACAGGAGAGATATCACTTAAAAAAAAATAGGAGTGAATTTAGCTGTTTTTGGACAAAGTAAGCCTAAAGTGAATCCTATTGAATTACTGATATTTTCAAATAGCATCTCCTATAAAACCAACCTTTGGAAGGAAGGAGGTAAGAAACTGGGCTGACTGAAACCCAGTGGTCTAAGGGTGACACTGGGATTCTACTGTTAAATTTATTTGATGGCACTTTTTAACACACAGGGAATAAAGCTGATTCAAAGCCATCATACCAGGTATAGGGACAACTCCAGTGAGATTACATAAGAGGAGAGAGACCAGACATGACTTCAAACATTACATGAGAAGATGGAAAGCCACGGAGGAGACTTATGATGAAAGCACATGTGTACGTATATGAAACTATCATGAGATCCATTGCTTATGGCTTGGATGCGCATGTTCACGGCCTCAGGTTCTGTTCCAAGCGTTTGATTCCCAGCTGATGATTTGCTTTGTCATGTAGACTTCAGGGATGGTTCGTGGGAACAGAGAGGGTTGTAGCCCACCCCAATTTGTGCCTGTTTTCTGATTTCTGGTTCAGCTAATCGTGGAAGCCCTCACCACATGCTCCACTACCAGGGAGCTTCACCATTCTTTCCCTGCCATGACGGACTGTATCCTCTCAAACTGTCACCTAAATAAATCTGTGCACACTTGCACGTGTACAAATAAAGCTTCATGACAGTGGTTTCCTGAGGAACACGGATGGAGAGCATCCACCACCTGGCTTGTCACAGACAGGCAAAGGCAAAGCGTGAGGTGAATCTTGAAGGACTTAGTAGGCCCAAACAACAGAGAACGTTCTTAGCAGGACCACAGGTTGTACAAAAGCACAGAAGTCAGAAGTAGTGTGCATTTCTAGAGCTACAGACAGCTGAGAAAGGCTGAAGCACAGGCAAGGAGAGAACCTGAACCTGGGAGCCTCTGTAGGTTTCGCACGCCACATATGTTTAGACCTGTTCACACAGGAGATGCTGAACCGAAGGTGGGTTTTAAGCCACAGATTAGTAGTGGCAGATCTGCTTATTGGATACAGTTCTGAGGCACTGTAGAAAGTAGACGAGGTTTCCGTGGCAACAAAGGAATTCAAGCCGCATATGATTTAAACAGCAGTGGTGAAAAGGGAGACATTGTAGTACAATGTAGCAGGAAGCAGAGATGGAGAGAAGTCTGCCTACACAAGAACAGCCTAATCCATGGACCGTAGGCTTGGGATGGATGGATACACCCGGAGGGTGGCAGTAATGGCGAGGACAAAATTTCTGGCTGAAGTAAGTTCTCCAGGAAAGAGGAAGTGAGGCATGGAGAACAGATGTCCTCTACTTTTCACTCTTACAAATACACTATACTTTCATACCTACTTAATACTTTCATATTCAAAACAAAAATAATACAAAAAGTTTAAGGGTCATTTTTAATCACTACTAATGTTGGTATTTATTTCCTAGAGCATCATGCCAAGCATCACAACATATGAAAAATGCATTTTTAAGAATGGTCCCTGGGTGACTATCTCACTGATGTCCTTGAGATATTGATAGATTGTTTAAGCCTCTACTGTCAGGTAAAGAAAGGAAACCCAATTCAGAGCCTGGTGAATTCTAGGCTATCTACCCATAATTTTGAGTCTTGTTTTCATGGGAAGGGTTAACACCTGCCCACCATCAGACTCCTTTGCGCTACACTGCTCAGTCACTAGGGACATCAGCCTAGTCCTCACCTTCATTAAGACACCAGCAACTTCTGAGTGGGCCTGGTGAAGACCTTCTCTCCTTCAAGACAGAAAACTTCGTTTCAGCCAAAAAGGAAGAAGTAATTGAAAGCGAAATTAACAATGCCCTGGAGGGAAATGACCACATTATCTCCCATGATGCAATAACCAGAGAGATGAGAAGAGACTAGATACAGTCAAAATATTTTATCATAGATGTGAGAGCCGCAAGTTCATACAAAATATTATCCCAAAGACCAAAGCTCGAAAGAGATGTTTTTTAACAGAGAAAGTGAAACCAAAGAAACAAAGCAAATCCATAAACAAGGTTGCCAGTCACAGGTGAGGAAGTGAAGAGGAATACGGAAGAAACTCGGAAAAGGGAAGGAAGGCAACTGACGGCTGATGTGGAAAGTCCCAGGTTTGCCCTGAGAGACAAATAAAGAAGCGTGGATTCACACAGCACGTCACCCACAGAAAGGCAAGGAGTGTTAACAACACTTTGTAGAAAGACTTGAGCAGAATTGCTGAGATGTATCTATCTACCCACAGTGCTGTTTAGAATATGGTTAGTTCTTTGAGAAAATAATGCAGAGATGGGTTCTACGCAGACAGGAGAAGGGGGCAATAAATGGTAAAGCAGTTAACAGTGCCGTAGAGCAGTGGTAGGTAATACTTAGAAGTCATTACAGAGACTGAGATGATGCGGGGGCGGGGGCGGGGAGGGATGGCTGATATTTACTAGGCACTCCATAAGGGACATTTTAAAAAAAAACTATTATTTCTAGTTTGCAATCAAAAAAACTGATACAGTGCAATGGCATAAGACAGAAACTGCAACCTTAGATAAGCAGACGAATCCATTGACGTCTGAGGGACCCCTGCAGGTGTCCAGGCAGGGAAGCAAACCACAAAGAGGTGAGAATGAAAACCCAATTCAGATTGACTTCATCAACCTGGATCAGAGACCTGAGGAGTCTGATGCCAACTGGTTCATTACCAGCATCTTCAAAACACAGTAAAATTCAGGGAATAAGTTTCCTGGTATAATATAATCCCCAGTGCACAAGAAGGCATAATTATATGAAAACTCAACTCAGGCTACATGTCATTTCTTCCAAGAAGGTGGTTTCTAGAGATAGGTTACCTGGACTAGCTTAAGGGCCTAAGGAAAAGTCTGGCCTCACCTTGGTCATCCAGGTAGCATAGAGAGTATTTTTGGGCTGTTCGTCACCTCTGATCCTGGTTGTGGGAATCTCTGGCTATACAATTAATGTAAGGGTTATTTAGACTATTAGGTATCTCCACTACTGGTTGTGGGAGCTTGGGAAGCCCTGGACTGGAAAGGTCATTTAGCTTACTAGCTAATATCTAATAAGATAATATCTAGTAAGATAATAAAAATAAATATTAAAAAGTAATAGAGTAAAAAATAAGCCACATAAAGATGGAAAATACACAGAGAGCCTGGATTATGTATATTATTGTGCTTTATTTGAAATTTTGACTGCAGAGAGACATTTGATTATGGGGGCTGCTAAGTTAAATCAAGATAAAAGTATCTTGACTTCAAAATATGGGTCTAAGGATACATTGCTTTGGAAAAGAGATTCTGTTTTTGTTTCCATGGAAGATGAAAACCTGTGGATTCCTTCCAGGCTAATATGGTTTGATGGAACAAGACCCCCCTGAAAGGTCTCTGTGAACCCTAAAAATACTTCACCCAACAAACAGCAGGAAGAAGTTTAGAGAAAACACCACCAAATTCCCAAAATGATTGTTTATAAATGTGTGTTTTTATTTAAAGGGGGATATGATAAAGAGATGAATATTTTGCATTGGTATGGACTTTGGTCTATTGATACAAATTTAAGGTTGATTTGTTACATTGTATATATGTATTTCTGCTCTTGTTTAAGGTACTGTGTTTGTGCAGCTCACTTAAAAATGTAATGTATAATTAAAAATTAGATTAATAGATAGTTGTTTATAATAGCCAAATTTGCAATCATATTAGTTATGTTTTCTAGATATTTAGAGATATATTTCAGTTAGATAGATGATTTTCAACACTTCAAAGACCTACAGAATATGGCATTTAAAAGATTTCAAGAACTTAGACTTTTCTCAACAATGAGACACATCTGCTCCTGGCATCACCAATCTACTTCATGAGGATGATGGGCATTGAAGAGGCTTCTTATGGAGTTTGCTAGTCATTTGGGCAAGAAACTGCTCTTGCCTGGACTGCTTGGTGGTATGCTGTATGAACTAGACATGCAGGACCCACAGAAAAATGACTGCTGAACTTGCCTAAAGAAGGTGAAACAGTTCTTCAGGGTTCCTGCTTCACAGAAGAAACTGCCTGACATTCTGCAGGGCACAGAAGAAAACAACTGATGAACTTTGCCAGTACAAGTCAGAAAAGATCTTCAAAATTCCTGTTTCATAAAAAAGTCTTCCAGATACTATAGGCCGGTAGGCTGAAGATGGATGCCTGAACATTATAGAAGAACTTTGGATGACTGTCAAGGCAGCAAGATGTCTCTGTCATTTCTAGAACTTTGGAAGTTGCTTACAGTGCTTCCTGTTTACTTAGGTAATATTAAACCCTTCTGGGGTTGAAGATAAATAGTTATAATTGTCCTTAGTTATGATAAAAGACAAATTAAGTATGAAACTTTAGACTCACAAATATAAAACAGATGATGGTATATTTTCTTTAATTTTGCTAAATACAAATAGACTAAATATTATAACTGTAATTCTTGCTTGAACCTGTTTTATTATATGTAATTTTACTATGTTAAAGTTAAAACCTTCCTATTTAATTAGACAGAAAAGGGGAGATGAAGTGGGATATCCTTATGTATATGTGTTTCTTTTATTGGATAATAAATAAAGCTGTTTCAACCAATGGCTTAGCAAAGTAAAGTCAGGAAGGAAATCAGAACAGAGATGGAGAGAGAGAGAGAGAGTAGACAGAGTCAGAGAAACACCATGTAGCTGGTAGCTGCCAAAGAAGACAGACACCAGATGGAACCTTATGGGTAGCCACAGCCTCGTGGCAATACATAAATTAATAGAAGTAGATTAATTCAAGATGTAAGAGCTAGCAAGGAATACAACTAAGTTATTGGCCAAACAGTGTTTATATATATATATATATATATATATATATATATATATATATATATATATATAAAACCTGTGGTCCCCAATAGAGTCGTTAAACTTCCCTCTGAAACTTCACAAGCCTCCATTGTCTGCATTGCCCTCAGCATTCTTACCTTCCAAGGTCCTGAAGAACAGCTCACAAGCACTGAATACTTAGTGATTTTTCTTGCACAAAGTTCCAAAGTCCTTCCACAGTCCTCCCCAAAACAACATGAGCAGGTCTGTCGCAGTAATACCCCAAAATCCTGGTAACAAAATTTGTCTTAGTTTTGATTACTATTGCTATAATGAGATACCATGACCAAAGGAACCTGGGGAGGAAAGGGTTTATTTAGCTTGTGCTTCCTCATCACAACTCATCATCAAAGGAGGTTGAGATAGGAACTCAAGCAGGGCAGGGACCTGGAGACAGGAGCTGATGTGGAGGCCATGGAGGAGTGCTGTTTCCCGGCTTGATCCTCATGGCTTATTCAACCTGCTATCTTATTGAACCCGGGACCACGTTCCCAGGGATGATGGTACCACCCACAATAGGCTAGACCCTCCCCCCATAAATCACCAATTAATAAAATGCCCTATAGACTTGCCTGCAGTCAGATCTTATAGAGGCATTTTCTCAACTGAGGCTCCCTCCTCTCCAATGACTCAAGCTTGTGTCAGGTTGACATAAAACCAGCAAGTACAGAAAAGATGAGAGAAAATAGATTACTAAGTACTGTACTAGAACACCAAGTCCAAGAATGAGACAAGGTCTGGGGAAAGGAGTAGGGGCAGAAATTGTTTCGTTCTGTTCTGATCAAGAGGTTAAACAAAGAAGGAGGCACCCATTGTAGACCACACCTCAATGGGTGTGGGAGCTCGTGCCTGTAATCTTGGTCTTTGGGAGACAGGTGCAGAAGGATTGCCATGACTGTGAGGCCAGACTGTGCTGCAGAGTGTAATTATTAATACTTATCACAGCAGTAGAAAGATAACTAAGACAGGTACCAAGGCACTTGCTGATTTGAAGAAATGCCTGCTTCCGTCTTGGTGGCATGAGATACCAGGGTAGAGGAAATCTTACAGCTGGAAAGGGTTGCGTGAGTCAAAAGCTGAAGAATTTCCCCCAAAAGTTAGAGCACCCACTTCCATCCTGGCATTGCCAACTTCCTCTTTTGCTTTGTTCATTTCCTTGGTCTCCACTGTCATCAACACCGTCATCACTACACCACACTCCCCAGTACAATCATTCCTATAGTGACTTAGTTTCTACTCATTGAGGACCAGAAGGATATATGGCCTGAGATACAGGGTTTGATACACAGATTGTGCAATTTGCCTGCTCCATATGACAAGGCAGGCGGCTTGGAGTCTAAGTCACAGAGACAGGATGAGGTATGACAGAAAAAGAGAGGACCAAAGTCATTGCCCCATGTTCCAAAATTTCCCTATAGAAGAAAAATAATCTTCAACCACACTGTTGCACTGGACAAATCACCACTCATCTTCTCATCTCAGTTTCTTCATCTGTTAGTGACGTTTAAATGACAATTCGTCTTCATCCATATGGTCCCACGGGATCCTGCCAATCCCTGGGGCTCCTCTCCGCTGTCAGGCTCAGGGTTTGGGGACTGTTATAACTAGAAGATGGCGAGGAAGATGGTGCAATTAGACTAAGCTCAAGGTTCCTGACAAGCCACCCAGGGAGAAAGGACTGGGAGCTGATGCTCAGACCCCTCATAAAACTTCTGTCCTGTCCCTGGCTTTCACCCTCCCTGGCTCTGCCCAGCACATATCAGCAGACCAAAAGTGTCTCTGATAGTCTCTGTCAGGACAGCCCACAAAGTCATCTGGCCCTCCGGCCCTGCACAAAGACCCTAAGGAAGGTAGCAGTCCCTCCAAGCAGGCTTGGATGCCAGTGGTTAATTTGAAATATGGATCCTGCGAAGGCAGAACAGATAAATATACCAGATGGCCCAGACAGGACTTCTGAACTGTCTACGGGACCAGATACTAAATATTGTTTTAATTTTTTTCAAGAAAAGGTTTTCCTGTGTAGCCCTGGCTGTCGTCCTGGAACTTGCTCTGTAGATCAGGCTGACCTTGAATTTACAGAAATCTGTCTCCCTCTGCCTCCTGAGGGCTGGATTTAAAACGGTGTGCCACCCTCATCAGAGCAGCACACTGTTAGCAGAGGTGTGGGTGCACCAGTCCCAAAGTTGTTAGCATGGGAGAACTGCCCCACTACACATCAGTTTTGGGGGCTACATGGACAGGGGAGAGTTGCCCTCCTCCCCTGCCCCCAACCCATCAATGCCTGAGGCAGGTAGAAGAGCTGGCCCTATGATCATAAGAATGGGAGAGTTGTCCCTGACCCGCACCAGCTACAACACTGGGGAGATCAGGCCCTGCATCCTGCCTGGACAGCACAATGGAGCCCAGGTATGGCTGAGCGATCCCTGAAGCTGTAACCATGGGAGAGCTGCATGCTCCCCCTTACTCCTCACCCCTTTCCTCCTGCAACAGATAAGAGACATGACCCTCCCCCTTACCAGCTGCAGGAAAGTGAGCCCTGCCCCTTGCCTAGGAAGCACAGCATAGCCGCCCAGTGGTCTGAGGTAAGAGTGACCCAGCCCTGATGTGAGCAAGGGAGGGCTGTCCCCATTACTCATCTGACATGTGGCAGCATGGGTGGAGGAGAAATGACCCCCTCGCCACCCTCCACCCATCAACGCCTAAGACAGGTGGAGGAGCTGGCCCTGCGGTCATAAGAGCTGGAGGGCTGGCTGTCCTTGCCCCTCACCAGCTGAGCACGCTGGAGAGTGGCCCTTGTACCTCTCTTGGGCAATAATAGACCCTTATGGTGTAAGGGTGGGAGAGTCGACCCTGAGCGCATGAAAGCAGAACTGGCTCACACCTCCCTCATTGTTACAAGAGGTGATTTAGCTGGGGCAGTGCTGGAGAGCTCACCCTGGTGGTGAGCACAGGGGAGAACTGTCTGGCAGACCAACCCTGCAGCAGTCCAGGCCTAGAACCAGGGTTAACTTGGCCTGCCCCAACATCCATCACAACTATGATCTGCTGGAGCGTGTGAAGAGACCTGACCCGCAGACCCAAAGCTGCAGGATCTCCACAACACAGGGCAACAACAGGATATCCAGGAAGAGTCCCAATGAGAGCCCAGCATTGATGGTGTTGTAGAAACCAGAGGCTTCGAACCAAACCAATGGCTCTTTTGCAATGAACACTTTCAAGTAAAGATTTATGGACAAAGGGATTTATTGTGTGACTCACTGTGTCACAGTACAGCTTCCATGATGAGATTTAAATCCCCCCTCCTTTTTTCTCTCTTAAATTTTGTTGTATTTGCAGGAGGTGCAGAGGGTGGATTCGAAGGGATGGGGAAATGAATGAGATCAAGATATGTGATGTAAAAGACACATAAAACAAATAAAAAAAAAAGTTTAAAACAATAATATCATGTGCCACCACTACCTGACAAAAGGCAATAGCAGGGTCCTTTTTGTTATTGTGGTTTTGGTTTTTTGAGACTGGATTTCTCTTTGTAACAGTTTTGGCATCGTGGAGCAAAACTTGTAGATGAGACTGGCCTCAAACTCAAAGAGATCTACCTGCCTCTGCCTTCCAAGTGCTGAGATTAAAGGCATGCACCACCAAGCCTAGCCAGACAATTGATTTATTAATTAAGTTTTAAAAGTCTCAGTGTCTCAGTGCTGATAACTGATTATTGTTCACCAAGCTCAGATGAAACTGAGACCCTAAACTGTCTTCAGATTTCAAATCAAACACCGTTGATCAAAGATGGGATTCTTCTGTTTGCTTTCCTGAAACTGAGATACTGGGAGCCAAATTAGCCAAAAGTGGGCCACTAGGTGAGCAAACCTTGTTCCATAGTAGAGTCTGGTGTCTTCCTGCTTGCAATTCTCTCTGCAAAGTTTCCTTGAGTGCTGAAGAATAAGCTCAGTACCCAAAACATACGATGGACAAGCTCATTTGAATGAACACACTGTCAAATTCCTGCTTTCCCAAGCCAGCCCCTCCTGCCTGCGTTCATTCATTCATTTGTTTGTTTGTTTGTTTTTTGAGACAGGGTTTCTCTGTAGCTTTGGATCCTGTCCTGGAACTAGCTCTTGTAGCCCAGGCTGGACTCAAACTCACAAAGATCCACCTGCCTCTGCCTCCGTGTGCTGGGATTAAAGGCGTGCACCACCACCGCCCGGCCCTGACTGCATTCATATGCCAGGCACTGTGCTAGACTTGGCTCAACTGGAGTTTGTAGACTCTCTGAGGGACCAGAGCATGAGTTAGGTTTCCACTGAGGACCCTATAATGACGATTGTACCACAGCTGTACCCAAGGAACTGTGTGCATCATTCATATGACCTAGTTGCTCATTCAATCCAGACAAGAGAACTGGCCCTGGGCAGTCACTCTGCTGCTCTCTGAGTTAACAGTGCAGTAATGTTTGGTTATTATCAAGAGATTTGAACTCCCCAGAATCTTAGAGAAACAAGAATTTGCCTGTAGGTTTTTTTGCTTGTTTGTTTTTACTCTTTGGGGGCCTACCACCCAGCTCCCAAATAAGTACATGGAGACTTATTTTTACTTATGAATCCCCAGCCTTAGCTTGGCTTGCTTCTAGCCAAATTTTCTAACTTAAATTATCCCATCTCTCTTAACTATATTTTGCCTCTGAGATTTTTACCTTTCTTAATTCTATAGCTTTCTTTTCTTCTTACTCTATGACTGGCTGTGTGGCCAGGTGGCTGGCCCCTGGCATCCTCCTCTCCTCTTCTTGCTTTTCTCCTCCTATTTATTCTCTCTGCCTGGCAGCCATGTCTATCCTTTCTCCTGCCTCATTATTGGCTATTCAGCTCTATTAGACCAATTGGGTGTTTTAGACAGGCAAAGTAACATAGCTTCACAGAGTTAAACAAATGTAATATAGAAGGGTGTAATAAATCTTTGCATCATTAAACAAATACTCCATGACATAAATGAATGTAACACATCTTTAACTAATTTTCCACAACATTTGCCAAAAACATTTTTTTTTAAGGAACAACTATCTCATTCCAAGATGGGCTGTGATTATGAATATCATATGCCTCATTCATCACCTTTGATGATACAGCTTAATTCAGGCTCATTTTGATGATCACAAAGCACTGATAGAGTTTCAGCATGAGACTGGCTGGGGCACCTAGCTCCTTGACATTACCAGAGTGCATAAACTTGCCTCCAGGGTTCCCCTACCCTATGGCCAGTCTATATAGATGCCTGCATACTGTGTGTCCCCTGTCCCATATAAGAAAGGGCAAATGTCTCTCCAGACGTCCCTGTCAACACAATTGATGGAGGGCTTCTACAGTAGAACACAGGGTCTTTCAAGCCAGACCAGGAGGACTATTGGAGGAGCAACACACATGGTGATCAAACACCAGCTGGGAGGCGAGAGAGGTAATAGATTAGTGAGCGTGCATCTGCCTTGTCCTTTGTTCCAGACATCCTAACCAAAAACGTTTAGCCATCCCAGAAAAACCCAGTATTTTAATATTGACCCCGTCTGCACCATAGTTCGGAGAAAAATAATGCCTGTTTCCACAGTGACACACTTGCAAATGTGTCATGGTTTGTCACCCCTTGCACTTCCAGGGATTAGAAAGTATTTCTGCAGAGTAACAACAGCCCCTTCCCCTAGGAGTTCCCATCAAGTTTCTCCTTCCTGCACCTTCGGCGTGGTTGTGAAATCAGCTAACCCAAGGGAAAATTTCTCAGCTCCTCACTTCTGCTTTTGAAGACTATAAAGCCACGAGGAGAACTGCAGGCAGCAAACCGTGTGGTGGCTCAAGGCTGAGCAGGTTGATCGGACTCCTCTCCAGCCAGGCTTCCTGTGCAAGTAAGGTTTCCCTCTCACAACTAAATCCTCAGAGAGGGGTTCTTTCTCTCTCTTTTTCCCCATCCCCATCCTCTTCTCTCGTTCCCTCCCTCTCTCTATACTGTTTTTTAAATAGCTATAAGGCTATGGCTTGTGAAATACCCTGGAAATGAATGCTGTTTATATAGCAGCTGACATCTATGTGGTATCTGTCTCCTCGAAAGTTGTTTCTGTTCAGGGTCTATGGCAGTTCTTGCTTTATTCTAGAGCAGTGTTCTCAACCTTCCTAATGCCGTGACCCTTTAATACAGGTCCTCATGAT